GCAATTCTCCTGCCTCAGCCTCCTGAGTAGCTGGGATTACAGGCATGCGCCACCATGCCCAGCTAATTTTTTGTATTTTTAGTAGAGACGGGGTTTCACCATGTTGACCAAGATGGTCTCGATCTCTTGACCTCGTGATCCACCCGCCTCGGCCTCCCAAAGTACTGGGATTACAGGCGTGAGCCACCGCGCCCAGCCTATTTTTTACTTTCATAGTTTCTGATCCTCTGCTGAAATTCATAATTTTGACCTTTACTTCCTTCAATATATAAGGCACAATTGTTTAAAATCTATGTGGTAATCCTATTATGTGGATTCCTTATGAGTCTGTTTCTCTTGTCTTTTAGATTGCAATCACATTGTCTTGTCTTATGGAATGCCTGGTTGGTTTTGATGGAGTGGTGAACATTGTTTATGAAAATTGTAGGGGAAATTTGAGGTCTCGGATATGTTATCATCCTACAGAAAAAGATTTGAGATTACCTCTAGCAGGTGGTCATCACTTTATTCCAGTTAGCTATTAAGTTCATTGAAAAATGGCTGAGTCTGTTTAAAGGACTTTATATTGCCTGTTCAGTACTCCAAGTGTGCAGCTCTTTTCTGGTCTCAACCCAAAGCCTAGGGCTTTTTCTCGGGGGCCTTCTCATTGTCAGCCCTGAACTCCACCTCTTGTTTCTTGGAACCCAGGGATCTGTTGAAAGTTCTTCTCAACCTTCGTATATGTCTGGCTCATCTTTAATGTGTGGTTGAACCTGGGGGACAATGGCTTAAAATGCCAGACTTACTTATAATTCTGTGGTTTTTCCTACTGGATTTTCTTCACTGCCTTATTAGCTTTCTGATGCCTTCAAGCACATTCTTTTTATTTTTGTCCATATGTTCTTATTTTCAGTGTTTGCAGACTAACTCATCCATTATTGGAAGCAAAATTCTCTTGAATCTTTCTTTAAGACTTGTTTTTTCCACATCCCTCCTAAGCCCGAGTCAGAGAGGGATTGTTCTATTCTTATACGTACCTTTTATACATTCAGCTGTGAGCTCTTTTAGTGCAGAGGTGGTACTTACCATACCCAAACCTTTACCTTAGCCTCTTATAACTTATAACTTATAACTAGTCTGTTATAACCACTCACAAAATATTTGCTGAAATATTAAATGAGCAGTTATAAAAGAATACTTAAACTCTTTTCTCTTTGGTGTTAATAACCTTTTTTACTATAGCTCCTCTATTTTTGCTTCCAATTCATAGAAAAGTTTCAAGTATCTTTTGTATCAGAACTATCAGTAAAGAAGTACAAGGGTAACTACAAGCAGCACTTTTAAACCATTACATGTTGCTGCCTTTACAATCTGTGTTACAGTATGTTGACATCTTGAGCTTGAAAATTATCAAGTTAAAACCAATTTTCAGTACATAGCACCCTGAACATGGGACAGTTTGGATTCTTTTTCTGTTCAACAGACATTGGCAATACTCAGATTTGTCTCTCTGCTTAGTTGTGATTCCTTTGAAATAGGTAGGGGAGCTCCACATCTGAAGTGTGAAAATGTTCTGTGGTTAACTGTACAGTTAGAAGGCATGTTCTAAAAAGCCCTTTCATTGGCCGTCTTTATCATGGTACCAGTCTTGGATTGAGAAACAGCCCAGAAGAAAATTAATTAGTGGTTTTTCCATGGTTAAAAATAAGAGAAGTAATTATCCCGTTTTATCCTACTAAGCTTAACTGTGTTAGGTTGATCAGTTCTGGCTTTCTACATTGAAGAAAAGTGAGCATTCATCATTTCAACACAAGTCTTTCCCATGGGACACATAGTGTTTTTTTATTACATTTACTTACTAATGAGGAAAGAATTACGAGACATTAGAAAATGCAGGTGATGTATCAACAGGCCACAGTTGGATTTTTATCCTAAAGGACAGTTTGAATTCCTTCCTAAGACTTTGTATAGTCTGTGCATTTTTAAGAGTAGGATAGGAAGTGACGTTTTAATAGAGCATTCAGACAGAATGCCAGGAGGAAAAGAGAAATACTTTCACTGACCACCAGTTTTATCTTAGGAAATTAAGTCAAGAAGAGTATGAGCGGCAAGAAAGAGAGCAGAGGCTATCAGCTGC